GTTCTTTCGGTTTTCCATTATCAACACTAGTTGTATTTACATTTTTAAAATTTTGTTAAATGTTTATCAAATAATGAAAGGAGGCTTATAGGTCCAAAGACACTTAAGCTTATGCCACAAAATAACCGAGTAAGAATTTGAGGTTATACTTTGATGATAACACTTAACAAATTTAGAAAAATAAAAAATTAAAGAAATAAATAAAAACATTTCGCCGCCACCTCTTTTGGCCAACAGAGAGGACATTTTGCCGGCAACAAATTCGTCGACAGACAATTTGCTGACACATTTTAGTTTTAAAATTACATAATATAGCCTACAGTTTGCCTGACACTTGTCCGCAGACAGAATAGAAATTTGATTGACAGGACGGAAAGTTTCTCCCCCTAAAAAGTGTGAAAATCACAATGACCGACATGTCAATTCTCGTACGCTTCCAGACCTGTGGCTGGATTTATTGATCATGAGGAGTATTAAAGATCGTGGAGATCTGGTCCCCGGTTAATTCCCATTGCTGCTCTACTTGTATTTCTGCTGGAGGGCTGAATACAAGTTTACGACAGTGCACCGTCTTTCTGATGAGATGTTTAAGCCGTTAGTCCCTTGTGCATTATGGCCCATGTGCACGTTAAACAACACAATACACTCTTCGGAATAGAGTAGGGGATTGTCTCCTGGTGTACTGCCCAATCATCACCAGAAGGACCCCACTGGAAATAAGTCTTCTTCAGACTTTCATGGGTTATCGTTGGTTTACACCGAAAAAATCCATCCATCCATCCATAAATCTCAATTAAAAATCATCTACCAAATAATAATGAGGAAACGTATATTGCTGTCTCTTATACACATCTAGATGTGTATAAGAGACAGGTTCTGGACAGCTCCACCAATGAGCAGGTTAATTTGCGGCGCCAAATAAATTAGGTATGGCGTGCACTAAGCGCAATAAAAAGTGAGTAACCTAAAATTAGGACCTGGAATCCAGGCTAGAGAGCGCATAGTGTTACGCCACTAAATTTAAGCATCGGAATTCATAAAAGGCTGTAACTTTGGGAATTTGTACCCCAAACCGCAACCAGGACTCTGCCTTTGGTGCCCGCTAGGTCCTTTGCTGGCCTCTGACTGCCGTCACGATGGCTCCGGTACCTACGCTGCTCAGGCCCGGATTAATAGAAGGAATATGGTTGATCCAGGATGAATTTCCCAGCACCGTGTAATCCAAGTTCATGTTCATTTTATTGGTCATATACATACAGTAATGAATACAATACATGAAATTTGCTTTCCCGTTACATTGAAAAAATACTATACTTAATTATAAGAAACAAAGCACAGAATACTGTAACACAGATCAAACTGGGTTTGTTGCATAGCACCATAAACACAATATTATATGTAAACATTAATTTGGCAACAGTAATATGCACAACTACATTTATGAGGCATATAGTAGCCCAAGTTAGGCTATTAGTTATACTTATTTTGTTTGTAAGAAAAAAAATTACAAACTGACCCGATCAGATATTCGCCCACCCTATGGACCATTACTCTAAATGATTGAAAGCTGTAAAGCGTAAAACCCAATACTATGGATGAACTTATACGCTGTGATAACGTAGACGAGACTACTGATCTTTGGTGTGTTACTTGTTTTACCGAGAGGGCGCCCTGTAAATCGACTTTCTATTTGAGGGCGACAAACAGGATAATGACAGTAACGGCAATAATAATAATGTACGGTACTGCATATAATAATAATTGATTTGCAATACACTTTTGTAACAGCGGCACACAACCACGTGGGCGGTGGTATAGTAAAGCTTTATTTATTCACGAAAACATAAGCCTAACTCAACAATTTACATGCTGTTTTTCATCATGGTCGTGATAATAAAAGAAAACAAATTATAAATCAAATTAACAAAACATAGGCCTACAATATATAAAGGAAAAGCTTAATACAGTAAAGCGAAATAATAAATTTACATTATACAAAGTAATTTATAAAAATAAGTACCGTATATATTATTTTACTCAAAACAGAAAAAAAATGTACACTTATAAATATTAATATTACATTGAGGAATATAAAATTTGTATTTTGAAAATGCTTAAAGTAGGCCTATTTGAAATTTGTACATTTGAATTTAGTTTGTTCCATTTAATAGCTCCGCGGTATGAAATATTTCTCTTTTTATAATTAGTTCTTGGTTTAGGAATATATAGATTACTTGTAATTTAACGAAAATTATAATTATTAGGCAAAAAAAAACATGTTGTGTTGACCTCCGCGACCGACAGAAATTTTCCAAAAAATCGGGTCGGCATTTTTTTTTTTTTTTTTTTGGAAATTTTGTTTAAGTAGAAATTCGAGAAATACCACTTCAAAATTAACATTTACAACATTAAATCTAAAACAAAACATGTATTTTTAAATAAATCAAAGTCGGGCCATAGATGCACGCGTAAAATCGGTAAATAGAAGGCATATGCGCTGAGCTCTACCACGACTAGATTTAGGCCTATGATGCCTAACCTATTCTTTACTACTGTACAACTAGTGGTTGCTTGAATCAAAAATCGTTCATTACCTTACGGTATATTGGACAATAAATAAAAACATGCTTAGTTCTAGCCATCGCTTTAAAACCGGTACATAGCTAGACATTTTCGGCCCCGTTACGGTTTCAGGCCAACCATAAACGAAATATTTTTCTCTTTTTTTTTCTCGAGGTTTACTTCGATTGTATTACATAGAGAGCGCTTTTTTGGACATTTTTTTCCATCACAGTATGGCTTTGCTCGACCTGCCCGTGCGTGATCGTGTGGATCGGATGCACATATTATTTTACGCAAATAAATCTTTCTTTTAAACTGATTTATTTTTGTTAAATGTATTTCAACATACACTTGGTTAGTATTTACTCTGTCATTACTTTGAATAATTTTTGTTTGGCAAGCTTGGCATCGTTCTATACCCTGTATTTGTGAAATCCCCCCCCCTCCCTGGACCCCCTCTCTTTCGTTTGTGTTATTATGTTTATTATAACTTAAGCCTATTTATGGTCTATTGCAATTTTCAATTTATCCCCTCAAAACAGCTCTAAAAAGGGTAAAAACTAAGAAAAACAATTTAATTTCAAAGTTATTGCAATATTATTATTATTATTATTATTATTATTATTATTATTATTATTATTGTTGTTGTCATTATTATTATTACATAGTAAAGTACATAATAAAGTAAAGTGGATGGTAAATATTTAAAAACAATGTTCAATAATAATTAAAGAAAAAAAACCATATTAGTTTTTTTTTTAATATAATAAAATACATATACACTAATTTGAATACATAATCAAGTGGAAATTGATTAATCAAAGTCTGGATAAAGTGCTGCAAAGCATCTTAAAAGAGAGACAGGCACTCCGGCCTGCTTCAGGTTTTGAACTTTACCCTTTTTCGGCTGATTGATTAAGAGATCTATTTAGCTCTGATGAGGAGCTCAAATAGAGTACTACAGTGTTACGTCACGATACCACATAATACTACCCCGTTGCTATCGTTGCAAAAAGCGTCCAACCAGATGCCATTTTCTTCACTGACACACCATTGATCCCAATTTCTAACATAATTATTAAGATGTTTTATCTTACATTTTCTTTGTGTGTTCGATAACTAATATAATGCGAGCTTTTGTGTTTTTAGTACATTTTGATGGTAAAATATTAGATTTTAAAATGCCTATTCCAGAAAGCCTATGAAGTCATTTAGGCATAATGTATGGTAGCCAACGTCTGTTGGAAACAGAGAGCGCCACCTGGCGTCGTGACGACATGACTGTGGTACTCTATACCGGCTGATTGATTGCTCGTTTTTTGCTGATTGATTATTGGATCTTGTTTGTATGGGCGGCAGTTAGGGCCAATTTACTCTACTGCCTCTAGTATACGCTCTCATCGGAGCTTTCGAGATTATGAGACCTTGTTCACTAACTCTAATTCCTCTACAAAGAAGGGAAGCTCCGGGAAGGCTATTGTTTATACTCATGTCCTCATTCATGTTACTGTAATGTTGTTGTCGTCGTTGTCGGTAGTAAATGGTTTCAAATGTGCCAAAATGCAGGCTGGTAGTATGAAGACGGAGCCTACTGTATTGTTTTTGGTATGTGTGTGAATTAATTCACATTCACAATCATGAAATTTACGCTTGTTACCACGATAACTAATGTTTTGGTAAGTCTGGTTGGTTTCAAACTTTGTAGAATGCAAGATGGTAATAAAGCGACGGAGCTTATTTATTTTGGTATTGTGTTAATACGCTAATTGCTGATTTGCATAATTAATATTTCAGTAATCAGGAAATTTACCATGATAATTAAAGTTTGGTAGGTCTGCTTAGTGTCAAAGTTTGTAAAATGCTAGATAGTAATAGAAAGTGACGGAGCCTGTCTGATAATTCTAATTGCTCATTTGCGTAATTAATATTTCACTAATCATTAAATATTATCATAATTCCCATAAAAGATTTCAAATTGTAAAGATTGTAATAAAGTGATTGAGCATGTTTTTTATGGTACGTGTGTAAATATGCAAATTGCCGCAAGTCCTTTATTGTCATTTTTTTTTTCTCCGTTCTGGACAGCTCCACCAATGAGCAGGTTAATTTGCGGCGCCAAATAAATTAGGTATGGCGTGCACTAAGCGCAATAAAAAGTGAGTAACCTAAAATTAGGACCTGGAATCCAGGCTAGAGAGCGCATAGTGTTACGCCACTAAATTTAAGCATCGGAATTCATAAAAGGCTGTAACTTTGGGAATTTGTACCCCAAACCGCAACCAGGACTCTGCCTTTGGTGCCCGCTAGGTCCTTTGCTGGCCTCTGACTGCCGTCACGATGGCTCCGGTACCTACGCTGCTCAGGCCCGGATTAATAGAAGGAATATGGTTGATCCAGGATGAATTTCCCAGCACCGTGTAATCCAAGTTCATGTTCATTTTATTGGTCATATACATACAGTAATGAATACAATACATGAAATTTGCTTTCCCGTTACATTGAAAAAATACTATACTTAATTATAAGAAACAAAGCACAGAATACTGTAACACACACTGAAAATATAAAAAAGTAAATAGAGCAAAAAATTAAAATTATTCCGAAAGATGAATGGGTTCTTTAAAATGCACAAAAACCGAGTGTCTATGCTGGACTTCCTTCTCAATTCCTTATCCAAGAAGGCTTTGTTCTACCAACTGAACCCTGACGTTTTTCTCCGATTTGTTTTATTTATTTGCTGCATTTTAGCCTTCTTAATTTACCCCATCAAGAATTGGTAATATAATATTATCTGTCAGTAACTAGTCTAATGAGAGGTAAAGGAAATAAGTCCCATGATTGTGTTATCCCAATATCTCCAATGGGTTTTTCGATGTGTTCTATTTTTCTGTTTTGTATATTCTTGTTTTTATAAAGTAATGATGAGATATTGAATAAATCAAATCAAATCAAAGGAGCGGCTCAAACCAGCTCTGATGTTAAAGTTGTAATTAGCGACACCCTGCCTTACCATTCGGCCATTCAACTTACTGCTTGAATACTTGTAAATCAAATGATCAAATCAATACCAATACAAATATATTTTATTAACCATATTAATCATGATACAGTCTAACACAGAAAAATTACAATAACAGAAAATTTCGTCCGACATACGCTCATAATTTTCTGTTTTTGTAATTTTTCTGTGTTAGACTATATCATATAAATCATGCAGTCTAACACAGAAAAATTACAAAAACAGACAATTATGAGCGTATGTCGGACGTAAAAAAAATGGACACTGTCCACTATTTAGTTGTAGGCCTACAGTATATAACGTAACTTACAAATTATCATATCCCATAAACGGACTCTCTTTTTAAATAAGTGTAACAATGCATAATACAGTACTCCACATTTATTCAGCATTTACATAATATTGCACATAAGCTAAAAAATTACACAAATATTTAATTTATTCGGAACGATGAACTTGATTAACTTTATATGTACATACTGTCCTATAAAATTTGTATTATTTATAAATCGATATAGGTGCATAGGTCTTACTGCTACGACGGACGTTTTGCTGAATGCCAATTCGCAGACAGTCCTTTGGACAGATGCATTTTCGCTGACACGTTTGTTCTTTCGGTTTTCCATTATCAACACTAGTTGTATTTACATTTTTAAAATTTTGTTAAATGTTTATCAAATAATGAAAGGAGGCTTATAGGTCCAAAGACACTTAAGCTTATGCCACAAAATAACCGAGTAAGAATTTGAGGTTATACTTTGATGATAACACTTAACAAATTTAGAAAAATAAAAAATTAAAGAAATAAATAAAAACATTTCGCCGCCACCTCTTTTGGCCAACAGAGAGGACATTTTGCCGGCAACAAATTCGTCGACAGACAATTTGCTGACACATTTTAGTTTTAAAATTACATAATATAGCCTACAGTTTGCCTGACACTTGTCCGCAGACAGAATAGAAATTTGATTGACAGGACGGAAAGTTTCTCCCCCTAAAAAGTGTGAAAATCACAATGACCGACATGTCAATTCTCGTACGCTTCCAGACCTGTGGCTGGATTTATTGATCATGAGGAGTATTAAAGATCGTGGAGATCTGGTCCCCGGTTAATTCCCATTGCTGCTCTACTTGTATTTCTGCTGGAGGGCTGAATACAAGTTTACGACAGTGCACCGTCTTTCTGATGAGATGTTTAAGCCGTTAGTCCCTTGTGCATTATGGCCCATGTGCACGTTAAACAACACAATACACTCTTCGGAATAGAGTAGGGGATTGTCTCCTGGTGTACTGCCCAATCATCACCAGAAGGACCCCACTGGAAATAAGTCTTCTTCAGACTTTCATGGGTTATCGTTGGTTTACACCGAAAAAATCCATCCATCCATCCATAAATCTCAATTAAAAATCATCTACCAAATAATAATGAGGAAACGTATATTGTTATAGTGCTCAATTATTACAAAGAACGACATTTATTCCTTTTAAAATAATGTAGGCCTAACTTGGTCTAGTATTTAGGTCAATAATACAGTAAAGACCTAATTTATTGGTTATAACCAAATTGTTGCCATACCAAAATAATATAATCCTTGAACATAAATAATATTGCATATTTATTGTATTTTAAATACATATATTATATTAATAATATAAGCCTTTAAGGATAAAGGATCATTAAATTCAGTATTTAATTTGGATTGTAGGCGATTTAGGTTTTTGTTTTTGTTTTTTGTGGGTTTTTTTTTGTGGATACAGTTTCGAATGTGTATCAGAAAAATAGAGGTGAATTTATATATACATTTAACATTCAACAACCATCCACACAACATGAACCGAAGTCCAGTGCCGATTCCATGTGAAACAATTTTCACAAACGCACTAACGGCAAAATTTTAAATTTCCTGTCAGGCAAATGGTGTATCTGCATCTGCATCTATACGTTGGCCTAATTCATGAAAAAAGTGGTTGTCGGCAAAGTGGCTGCCGGCGAATTGTCTATCGGCAAATTGGCTGTTGCCCAATTGTCTGACGGCGCAATGTCTGTCGCGATTCGGCATTCGGCCAAACATCCCGTCACTCATCTGATCTACCCGGTCATTGGTGCATAAATAAATAAGTAAATAAATGGATAAATAATTATATATTTATATAAAAAGATTAGAAAATGAATGTAGGCCTATTAACAAAATTAAGACGCTTATGGGATAGGCATTAATGTTGATTCACCAATTCTATAAAAATCACCCACTCTAATTGCATACAGATCATTAGTTCATTAAAAGTTGTTCAACTGCTATCAAGCCACTTTTTATCGATCAATTTCCACTGCAACAGTGCAGCATCAACACCGCCCGATGAGATCACCGATTGATCGTTAAATACAAATCTGGCTGTTGTCACATGGGAGCTATGATGCTTGACTTCATAAGATTCAGCCTAGGGTAAAAGCACATACACTCCAATTATGAATGGCATAGTTATTATAATATCAATTGAATACCGCTATTTATACTCATCTCTGAAATTTTGTTAATATAAGTTAAGCATGTGCCAAGTAACATAATGTTGTCAGATAGTCTCGCCGATAGCACATACCTTAAATGATGTACAAGGGTATCTAAACAATGATATAAACCCGTAATTATCTCCTGCAACTAATAGTTGACTGCTGTTTGAACAACTAACAGTATTGATGTCAGTTCCACGATCTCTGGATGGCCATACACCTGCAATATGACGTCAAACATTATATGTATATTATATTAATGCACGGAACACTTTTATTTATATCAAAAACTGCATGCGAAAGCATTTGTATGAAATTGAAAACATTGCAAAATGTCTATATACGAGATGTTGGCAAGCTCTGACAAGTTATCATGGAAAGTTTGAAAGTCTTCGCAAACGACAAAGATTTTGAATGTATTTCAAACCATTGATGATGATCTCTGATTGACTTTTTCCCGTACCGTACCCCATCATAAAGTACACTACAGTACTTCAAGCTCGTACTTACCCATTACATTGTATCCCAGAATGCAAGTATGTGTTTCCCATTTTATTTCACGAATTCTAAGTTTATTGCGTTCTTGTTTCATCTCTTGGAGATCCCCTACACAACAAAGAACAAAAATGTATATAGTGTTTTAATTTAATGTATCATATCTAAACACTTACGTTTGCATAACCTACAGTATCATCCTAATTCAAACTGATGCATAATCACTTATTTACTGGACTACGATTATTATACATAATATAGCATAGGATGATATTTTGTTATTTTATTCTATTATTAGGGAGATTTCGCAATCTTACAGTACGTAAACGATAATATGCTGTACGAGCTCAATGATCATTGATTCATGAAAAAGGCCTGAATCGTCCACGTTGTGACAAATATGCTAATGAGGGGAGAATGTTGTCTAAAAATGTGATGATGTAAATGTACTCGTTGACGTTTTCGTAAGCTTGCAGAAACTCCCTATTAACAAACTTAAGCTTGCAGAAACTCCATATTGACAAACTTAGCCTTGTAAAGTGAATAAAAGACACGGATTACTAAAAAAAATGCGATAGTCAGGCAAAAAAATATATAAAAATAGGCCCAGGCCAAGCCAACACATGTCTGTCACAAACAGAAAGTGTCATTTCTGGCCATCCAGTTTGTATTCTTTAAAAAATCTCATTTGTATGTACCGGTAGATAATATTAAACACTAGTAAATACGTACGGGTCATAATAATATACAAAAAGAATAAATCGTTTATATTAAAAATTGTGCACTTTTGAGTTTGTAAAAATATTGGCCTAATAAGGATACATGCTTCCAATTTCAACAACGTTCAGTACATTGTTTTCACAATAAATTTAGCCTCTGATAGTCGTTGCACCCATAAAATCGATCTAGTGGGTTTCTGAGATGGTTACAAAATGTTTAAGCAATTGCGTTTTTACTTGGTTTGGTCCGGAAAATACGTACCGCACTTAGAAAAGTGAACAGACAAAATTCATGGTCATGCGTAATTGTTATTCTTTCCATTCGCTTGTAAAAGTGGGGTTTTAATTATAGAAGATTGGTGAAAAGTGGGGGAGACAATTGATATGATGTTCCCCCCCCCCCACTTTGAAAAGTGTGGGGGGGGGACGCGCCCCCCTGACACCATGCCAGGCGTCATGAATGTTAACAAGTAATTTATAAAAATTAGATTGCTACATGTTAGATGCCAATTGAATAATTATTCTAATATCATAGGCTTTCCCCCTATATTCGAAGCACATACCTGCAAAGCGATGACCTTACGGTACACTTGACCATCATCCATGACTGCAAATATGTAAATGTTATGATCATGTGACCCCATGACGAGCATTGAACCGTCTGTAAATAAAAAGTATGAATCATTTGAAATATGCATTACACACACGATGATGATGCCACATTGCGGTGACAATGGCACATACTGGTGACAATGGGTCATTGTGATGACAATTGTATATACTATTCTTGTATAGTATCTGAACCTTGCTCTACCAGTACAAATAAAACGAAAATGACGCGACGGCTAGTGGTGTGGAGAGGTTGATTGATTGATTTTTTCCCTCAAAATATCAATACAACTTGCAACTAAAAATTAAACTTACAATAGTTTAGGTAAGGTAGTTACCTGGTGAGAATCTGATTGCGTCCAACTTATCAGATCCAACTTGGACAGACGTCACATGCATGCCATTCGCAGCATGCAAAATCACAAATCGTCCAACTGTTGTTCCAACAGCAATGATTGCACCCGTCGGATCAAATGAACATGATAAGCATGGTTTCTCAATGTTCACCTTCCAAACAAGTTTATGATTTTCTGCTGACCAGAGCATAACGTAGCAATCATATCCAGCCGTTATGAAGAATGGTTCTGTTGGATGAGTGTCCAGTGCCCACAGTTCCTCACTATGTCCTTGAAGTATGTAATTAAATTTTGTCTGCAAAGAACCTATCATAATACTGTTTTTTGTTGTTCCTAAGACAACAACGCCATCTGCACCCCCTCTGTTTACTGGTGCTATAGCACGAATGCCTCCTGCACTTTCTGGGAACTAAATCAATAAGTGGAAACACTATATCATTGCTGATTGTGAATGAAATTTAATTACATGTATTAGGGTGACATAGTTACAGGTTCTTAAAGTCAAGCTTCGGAGAAAAAAAAAACATATTTTGATATGTTGTACAACTGATTTTTCTAAGACACAAAAAACATATTTGGGAAAAAGAGGGCGTAGACCAAGTTTCTAAATATTTACCAATCTGTATCTGATTAACCGCTCCCAAGTTTTTCGTCAAATTTGCTGTTTGTGTCTTGGAAAAATCATTTGTAGGCCTACAACATACAAATTGGAACAAATTTTTTGTGCACTCTAACCAAAATACCACGAATTGTTAGGTGGTAATGCGCATAGCGTCCTATCAAAATTACAAATGTCATTTATTGATTAGTATTTTTTTTTTTTAGTTATGGTTTTAAAATATACATTGAATAAAGATATCATACCAATCTTTCAACTTTGACCGAAAGGTAGCCTCGCATTGAGTCCCAAGCTAGTAGTCGTCTGTCCAGACCGCCTCCAGATAGCAGTGTACCATCTTCTAACATGCAAAGTGAATACACGCTGCGTTCGTGTGCATGTTGAATTTTATGACACATGCAGAAAGCGTCAGATTGTTTACCTAAAAACAAAATCATGTTATACTAAAACATCTGTATCTCATTAACCACTTCCGAGTTTTTCGTCAAATATATTTTTTTGTGTGTTTTAGAACAATTAGTTGTACATAAAAAAAAATGTTTTCCATCCAGAGCCTGGCCTGACTTCAAGATAAGACATATTCAGTAGATAAATAAATAGGTCTAACTATAGAATTTATTTTTATGAAGGTACTAATATTCATATTATATTTACTTTTCTCCCAAATTGTGATATTTCCGGTCGCATCGCCAACGATGACGTCACCAGTATGCGAGAACGCAAGGCATGTGATGTATTTCGGATTCTCTCCCTTAAAATAGTAAAATTGAGATATTAACAAATAAATAAATGATATGAACAAGATACCGCCGGCTATTTACAGTCAAATATATACGCCCGAATCTGTCTTTCTTGAAATCTCAATAAATATTTCAAGTATATTTAAAATAATTGTTTTCACCGTCTCTAGAATATGTTATGAGCATTAGGCCTATATTGATTAAGTTTCATTTTATAGGACCGTAATTTCATTGGCTTTTTCATTGCAAGGTTTTCAAAGGTGATGCATAGGGTCACGCAAAATACCTCACACTGATAAAACACTTCATTTACATTATTTGGTCATCATATCAATAACATGTCAAGAAATGTAATAAAATATATATTACACTATAGCCTAGTCCTACCTCGAATATTCCACTTCGCCTGTCCCTCACAATTCGGTTGTTATCGAGAGTCCAGAAATAAAGATGCTGCTTCCCAGCCGTAATAATCGTTGAATCGTCGTACGGATAGAATTCGGCAACTACAACCATATCGGTCTGAGATTGCTATTGCAAAATAACAATGTTTGAATCAAAGCTACATAGAAAAAAAGTGGAGGAACAGGGGCGGATTTAGGGGGCCGACCCGGCCCCGGTCCCCCCTTTTGGGAGGTAAAAAAAAATAAAAAAATAAAAAAAATTAAGAAAAAGAAAACAATGATAGCCCACAACGCCTCAAATGTTATTTTCGGGCGTCTACAACACAAAAATTTCGCGGACCCCCTAGGACATTGTTGTCTCGATCGGCCAAAATTTCGCCCTCCCCCCTTTTGGACATCTCTGGATCCGCCCTGAGGAAAACTATCTAGGAATCAGGTATCGTAGGTTTACAACGGGCAGTGCTTTATCTGTTTGCCTGATACAGGGCGGTATATATATATAATGTTAGTAGGGTTAAGTAAGTCAGTGCAAGTGCTCTACATTGTTTCTATGAAATGCTTTTGTATTTATCTTTTTTTTCTATCACAGCATACACATTTGATGAAAGAAATATTCTGAAGAATACAATGTTTTAAACAGTCAAATACCTCATTTGAAAAACTAAGTGCAGATATTCCAACTTCAAAGCAATCAAGACCAATTATAGCATGGGTACACAAAGACTTGACTTCCCAAACACGTACATGTGCCTGTTGAATATAAAGAGCAATTAAAAAAATTTTTGTTACAAGCAAATGATGTGTGTCTGTGAAATAAATTTACTTGTGTGGGATACGCATGCGCATATTTGCATGCCATGCTTATTAAAGTAATACGATGGAATAATCAATATAGTTTATTTGCTCTCGTATTTCGGATTCGATTGAATGAACTTGTTGGACATTATTGACGATATTTCTAAACAGTACTTACCGAATGAGATAGAACGACATCCGAGGGCTTCGGAAATTCAAAGAATAGCAGAAATAGGATAATAATAAATGCAATTAATGATCAAGTTAAATCTAAAAACACATTCATAAAATAGGCCTATTTAAAGAATATATATATATATATGTGTGTATATGTATATATGTATATTCGTCTTCTTTAATGTTCGAAATATATATATACATTATATAATATATATATATATATATATATATATATATATATCTTTATATATAATAGGCCTAAATTTATTAAAAATACTTTGTGGCTGTGTCTGATATTTCTTAAATGTGGCCATGAATCGATTTTGTGCAGATAACAAAGCATTGTGGAATAGTATTGGTGAGAAAAAAAATGCAAGCATACTTACTGCGGATTCTGGAAGATTTCCCTGTTTCTGACCAGTTGCTATGTAGTTACCAGATGGATGGAGGGACATGCTGAAAGGAGGCAGGGCATTAATGAGTTATTAAATAAATGGAGAATCATATTGTTAATTTAAGTTTACTTTATTTTTATTTATTATAACAGATATAAAATCAGTGCGTAAATTACAGAAAAAAATCTTCAGCCGCATATGTTTTCTATTTAGCAGCAGTGATAATAATTAATAATGTCGTTCTTTTCATCATTGGAGATCAAAAAACCAATGGTCTACTTATTCAAATCTAATTAGTCTATTAAATTATGGCAAATATGTGGTTATGGGGAGAATTATTATAGAGTTTAGAATAAACGTACCATTGAATATCTTCATTATGGCCCACATAGTGACGCTGTACATGTGATTGTCTGTCATACAGAACCGCCACTGCACCAACGTAATACACAAGTTCTAATGATGACAATACAAACAAATTTCGACCGGAATCGAAGCCTCTGTAACCGTACCTATTATTAAAGTGAAGTGGAAAAAAACCAAGGACAAACATGTTTTTTTTTAGATTATAATTTAAATCAAAATAGCATACTGCAACTTTTTAATATTTTACATTTAAAATGAAAAGGATACACCCAATCAAGCTTCATCTTTTTATTTGGCAATGAACTCGCAATAGGACGACTTCTCATGACGTCAATTGTAGGTTGAAACTCTCTCATTTGACCATGTATTGAAATGCGTACTGGTCCGTGAAACGCATTTTGTTCTCCCTTCTTCCATTTATTGAAGGATTTTTTTAAATGCTTGTCTTGGAAGTATCCAAAGTCGTTTGGAAGATCACTATCAGATTGTACGTGTTCTGGAGGCGGCTCGTTCAGTAACTTTGCTATTCGTGAAGTTGGTACATTCTTTCCGCGGGGAGGGTGTTTAGTATCTGGTTCTTCCATAGGAACCTCATCAGGCTGTACTTGAAATTCCTTAGGAAGGGCAGGGAAATGTGCTTGACTTTGAGAAACTTTGAACGTGGATCTTCGAAGCATGGGATGTGGCGGGAGCGCAGAGACGTCTTCGGTTGATCTGGTAAAGGCATTTTTTGGTTTGATAGGGGGAAGAACATCTTCTGAAGAAGAATCAAGTGGAGATTCCTCGTTGTTTGTATGTCGATAGTAAGCTGTATGAAAAATATTATTTGAATTACGACATGATACCACAGAGACTAGTAAATAGTTATTTTCAAGAAGGTAAACTCCTAACTAATAGGTAGCAGGCTTTTGTAGTACCTGTCCCTAAGGTCTACCCACCACAAAATGGGTCAATGGGTTACCACTGATACAAATCATTGCTTTGATAAAAGACAGTATGGTTGTGTCAAAGGAGCTTCTACCAGCCAATTTAGTACGGCTTATTCATGACTTGAAACCGTAATGTGGGAACGATTGTCCTCACGGACTTCAATAATTCTTAAGTCTTAATTCAACACAATATCCTTATTTAGAAAGTTATCTCATGTTGAGTCTCATGCTTCGATTGTTCCCTGGCTTTGCGACTTCCTCAGCGACAGAAAATAATGTATTAAGAACATCGTCCATCTCTCTGACTACCGGTATATCACATTAAATACAGGTATTTTCCAATGAAGAAAGTTTGGTTGTGAAGGTTGAAAATTTACAGATACAGATATATTTGCATTGTCATTTGTCAGAGACATAGAAATGTGTTATGCTCATGGTGCAACATCACCAACCTATCAAATAAATAACTTAAAAGTACAAGAAAATTATTATTATTATATTATTATTATTACTATTATTATTATTATTAATATTATTATTATTAAACTACCTTTGTTCATTCCAAACCAACTACCATGTCGATTTTTCTTTAGGCCAGTCCCATATTAAACATTTTAACATGGTAATATTAATAAAGTCTTCCCAATTTCAAACGCGGCACCTATTAATTCGGAGCTGTTAACCTGAAAATTTAATTGTTCGACGATCATATATTGATTTGAGGGGTTTCCATAAGTAAACGAGTGTCTCTTTAGATCGTACACAAGTTATTAGAAAAAAGACCATTGGTTGATATAAATAGAAACAAATTTGAAGTTTAATATTTTCTGCTCTCTAACCATGATTAAGCCTAAACACATACGGTAGGCCTTTTGATTTCGATTGTTGATCGTAACACACTTTCCTTTGCTTCCTTAAGAACGACCCCTTGCCTGGCCAACCACTCCGCAGTAATTAAAAGGTCATTTGCTTACCTTCATATGTGTCCCCTCGATCCCTGCGTTTTGTTTTCTTTATTTGTTTTCGTCTTTGATAAATGCCGTTGTACTTTGTAGGGTTGTGAGACGTTGGCGGTGCGAATTTATTTTGCACGTTGTTATAACTACTGTCTTTATCTACGTCGGACTCTAAACTGGAATCGCTTTGAATCTGTACTCTGCGAAGTGGTTCTAATCCACAGGCTATGAAAACATCGTGGTCCTGAAAATCCCGGAAGAGCTGAGAAAAGCTAAGAACCTGGAAAGAGAATACAAACACTCGATATGTATATCTATAATCATGTGATAAATTTAAAACAAAAGGTTATAACAGCAAGCACATTTCCTTTTCCGTGGGTATCGTGTCAACGCTACCCAGTTCGACATCTAATTATGTTGTATATTATGGAATACTAATTCTTTCTACTTACTCTTTAAGAAAATTGCATGACTGCTGTAATTACAATTTCGTGTTAGATACCTTAAAACTTTCTTGTTCATTCTACCAGAAATACAATGCTCACTTTTGGCCTATATAGTATTTCTTTGGTAAAAATACAAAAGTACAAAAGGCAAAAGGTTAGACCTAATGTATTATCTTATGTAATTCGACTTTGTTATAGGCATTTGGACTTAATAAAGGTCTAATACTTAAACATTTTATACACATTTTGTATCTATTTTGTGTGTATGATAGAGAAAATGACAATACTTATACCCTCTCTTCTGTTTTCCATGTATACAGTTGCTTTACAGGTGGATTAAGAAGCATTACAGCTTGCGACATATCCTTAAGCACGTGCTCAAAACTCTGTGTTGTTCGGGGATTAAGTAAGATCTTTGCCTTGCTGTCACGATTTGTGTTGCTGACTACAACGATAGCTCTTGGTTTTGCCCAATTATTTTGTGATAGTTCGGATACTTGACTTTTTGAATATCGAGTTGGGCTTTCTTGTCGATGTTTAGGTTGATCCCATTTGAAAAGTACTTTATCCGCTTTCCGTAGCGGCCCTGCACTTGGTTTTCGGTTATTCCAGTGTTTCTCCGAATTTTGAACTCTTCCGTATGGAATCCGCGAAATGAATTGTCCACTGGCACAGACATATCCGCGACCATCTTCCAATTCGGAAATATCGTTGATGGGGTCACCGTTTAATGTAAATATATTCCGTACTCCGTAAGGTAGAGCGATTTTATCTCCTAGGTACATCAGAAGTGTCTCCCATGTTGAATAATTCCTATAGTTAACCGGAATCGTTAGTCCTTTGAAGTGTTTGTCTCCATTACGGTAAAACGTCACAAGCCTGGTTTTAAATTTGTTCTTATTTCGAACTAAACCCATCTGGTTCTGATTTGGTGCGCATCTAAACATGCTTTCATCGTCGACAATTTCGTCGTCGTCGTCGTCGCCACTGTCATCTATAAAAAGTTCAGGAGAAAATTGTTCAAAACCTTCGTCGCTGTCGTCGAATCGATCTGGCACTCGATCGGGACATGCCTGTTTTTGTAGATCATAATTGTACTGCTCTTCCATAGAAGAATTCTGGAATAACAGATATACCGTACTATTTCGTTATGCAGGGTTGAAATACCTATTCGATATACAAATATGCTCCGTGAACACAATATAAACAAATAGATAAATAATAATAATTATAAAAACATGTTGTATT